ATATTAATTTAATGTAATATTAATATTATATTAATATTAATAAATCCATATATATATATATATAAATTATTTATATTATAATATTCTTTAAAATAGTTACATTTAATATGATTGGATGAATTACGACATTTAATTATTCGAATAATATGTCACGTACGCTTATAAACCGTGTCAAAATTTAATGCTACCGTCCAGATGTTCGTCTGCTAATTAAATCTCTCCCAGTAACAAATCATCGCAAATACAATTCGGTCGTTCTCGAAAAGAATTATTTTCGTAGCAGGGAGGGGAAGCGAAATAATAATGGGTCACACATTTCTGCAACCATAAGGCCGCTATTAACGACTGCATCTGTTGCGGTCCATTTATCGTTTTGCAGTATTCGATCGCGAGACCCCTTTATGGCGTATAACGCCGGGCCAAAAGGTGAGGGTGTCCTTGCCCTAGTTTCTCGCGGATAGGGGGTATCTCCCAACTTTTGGTGGGGGATGATTCGCGCCAGTAGTGGTAATAGGGGCAGCGCAGGGGAAGTTGGTCCTCTGTCTCTTTCCTCATTTCTCTCTCTTCCTCTTCTATCATCCTTACCTCTCTCTCCCTCTTTCACTCCTGAATACAACCAAGTGTGGCGACTTTTGCGAGGGAATGTTTTGTCTCGTCGAATCGCAAATTTGGATTTATCGATTCAAATGAGCGTTTATCTCCGTCTAATAAAACATTGCGCCTTTAATCGAAACTTCAAAAGGCTCGAATTATTCTCGACATCGATGTTTCGACAGATAATTTGCTTTGGTATCGATAAAATTTATATATAATTATTAAATAATTCTCTTTCTCTCTCTCTCTCTCTCTCTCTCATATATATATATACTTTCCATTTCTCTTTCTAATGAATAAAATATTATAACAAGAGTTTTTTAGAGAAAATATATAATTTACTACGTATAATAAAAATTAAATATAAGTGAATTTTTTAGAGAGGCAAAATATATATATTAAAATAATATATATGCACAAGATATATTTTCTATATTTGAGAAATATAAATTTTTCTAAGAAATTATATCATACGATAAATAAATATTATTTATCGAATTTACTACAAGTAAACTCTGGGAAACGTCACGTTTCTCCCACGTAACCCTCGTAAGGAGCTTCCGCGCTACGTGCAATCCCATAGAACATCGGGATTACACGTGTATTTTGCGGTGCGTGCATTGTACGCACCGGATACATTGGATGCACCGGTTTCTTGTTTGTCGATTTTCGGGGAAATATCAGGGCACACCCTGCCGATCCCACGGTCAATAAAGATCGAGCATGCATCGCCGACAGCTGTGGCTGACAACGGCCGAGATAGAAATCTGAGGTCGATTTCATCGGACGTGCAGCACGTGACGTGTCGTGCATTTTGCGTCATCGCGTGCGTGGGAGGAGGAGATTCAGGGAGATCCAGGGCTCGCTCGCTCGTTTTATCAAGTTCGTTGATCATTGATTGCGCACGCCCGAAAATCGATCGCGGAGAAATAGACTGAGCTTTCCCGCTCTGATAAATAAAGCCCGATTATTAATACCAGATGTGTACCGCGTATATTAAAAGATATCGGCGAATATTTTACACGGAAATCTGTTCCATTATTGTTCAAAATTGAGTGAAAATTGGGAATAATTTAGAGAATTTTAAGAGATTAAATTAGAAATATTTAAGAGAAGATATATATATATATATATATATATATACAAAATAATTTAAAGAAGTAGAAAAGACGAAATCTGAGGTCGATTTCATCGGACGTGCAGCACGTGACGTGTCGTGCATTTTGCGTCATCGCGTGCGTGGGAGGAGGAGATTCAGGGAGATCCAGGGCTCGCTCGCTCGTTTTATCAAGTTCGTTGATCATTGATTGCGCACGCCCGAAAATCGATCGCGGAGAAATAGACTGAGCTTTCCCGCTCTGATAAATAAAGCCCGATTATTAATACCAGATGTGTACCGCGTATATTAAAAGATATCGGCGAATATTTTACACGGAAATCTGTTCCATTATTGTTCAAAATTGAGTGAAAATTGGGAATAATTTAGAGAATTTTAAGAGATTAAATTAGAAATATTTAAGAGAAGATATATATATATATATATATATATATATATATATATACAAAATAATTTAAAGAAGATTGAAGATATTTATAAAATTATTAATCATATGTTAAGATATAAATTTATATATGTGAATAGTGTTATATAATGTTTACCATTTTTTATTCTTATTGAGAATACTCACCCGGTATACAGGCGTATTTTAATAAGATTCCACCTGGAATCCAAGAATGCGCTCCTGGTTGATCGATGGTCGCATTAAAACGACAATGTTTTTGACCGGAACACCTAAATCATATTGGAAAGTTGCATTAAATTAATAAATGACAGAATAGATTGATTTAAAAAATACTTTGAAAAATAATAATATTAAATTTTTGCAATATACATATATTTTTATATTCATTTCTCTCTCTCTCTCTCTCTCTCTCTTTCTTTCTTTCTTTCTCTTATTCTAAATTATCTTTTAAAAATTCTATTTATTCTCCCGGGACACATGAGTGGATCGAAACTCATAAACTAAAATTTCGCTTTTGGATATTATCGATTATTCGACAGTCACCAATTAAACAAGCAACGTCGGTCATTAGGGACTGCGAACGCGCTGACAAAAGCAGCCCCGAGCATTTCTAGGGGGATGGAATTTAGGGGAAGATTCACGATTGTGTTGCCGCGATCCTTGTTGCTTGAAAGTAGAAGTGAATAATAGACGAGGGTGGATTTTCACCCCTTTTGAGAGATCTCGCCGTCTCGCCCTTCTACGTCCACATTTTCTCGTTGATTTTATCGGTCCGTAAAACGGAAATAAAGGGAAATAACATTTCATTCCCTTTTCCTCCCTCTTTTCCGCGCCGTGTCGCGAGGAATCTCTTTGAATTTTTTTAGTCTCACCGGCATAGATTCTCAAATTGAAACTTGTGGTTCTGTGTCTCTTCCGGACAAAAATAAATCGTCCTGTTTGTCTATAAAGTTTATAAAGGTTATTGCCAATTATTATCTCTAGGAAATTAAAACGAGAAAAATAATTTTTTAAATTAAAATTTAATGAAGAAAACGCAAAAAACAAATAACGGGCGTACCTCTGATGTCGAAAATTATTATGGAAGAGAAATGAGAAAATGTGTGTGTGTATATTAGATTATTATAACTTTAATTATCAAAAGGATCTTATTTTACCAAGAAATTATACTTTCTATATTATTAAATTAAATTTTTTTTTTACTTGTAATATAATTCTGTAGCTTTCTCCATATTTAATTTAATAATATAATTTAAATGATTTAATGTATTTTATATTTTAGTAAATTCTAAATTTCTGAATATAAAAGCTATGTTCGATCTGCCGCGAAGGATTTAGTGCGATTTCAGTAATGCAAAATTTGCATCCCTCGCATTGTCGACCCCCATTTGTGGAATTCTCGGAGCGTGATGCTGTGTAAACGTAGGGGGGGAGGCGGACCATTTAGCGGAGATTGTTTCTCCTTTCGGCGATCATCTGACGCGCATTTCAGAGAGGTGGTGGGAGGGGAGGGAGGCAATTATTGCTTTAGGAATGCTTTTATCCTCGCACATCAAACGTCGAGATTTCACTCTCGACCCTCGACGACCCTCGAGTGCGTGACGAGCGGTGGATAAAAACGACGGGTATCCGGTGAAGGAGCGAAGGGGGTGATTCTCGATCAAGTGGCAGTCTCGACTACGTTTCGCAGTAATCGTGTGTGACTTTTTAGCATTACATATCTAAAACGTTAATGCAGTTTTTGCGTTGTTTGTGATCGTCTTTTATATTTTCTTTTTATATTCAATTGAATATATTAATTATCATTATTTATTATCTCAATTATATTAATTTATTTTGATCTCTCGTGGTAATATATATATTTATTTGTCTCTCATAAAAAATTCACTTATAATAATAGAGAGATAGAAAGTATATATAATAAATTTATGTTGTATATGTATTATTAAATATTATATTAATATATATATTTTACATAACGAGAAATTTTTATATCTAATGAGGAGAATTTAATCGTTCGATCTGGTATCATGTCGCTCGACCTTATAATTTTACTGCAGAAGTCTATTATATATACTACAATGTTTGTAGTCGACAGTAAATGGAATAAGAGTCGTTTTCTAGAACTGTGGTCTACCTCAGACCTCGATCGTAATCGAACGCTATCTTCTATCATGGAATGTTTGTCATGAACAGAAGTCCGATATCGTCGACGAGGACCATGAAAATTTTGTCCAGCTGACGAATCGTAAATAAAAATCAACAATAAAATAGCGGATGCAATTGGAAAATCTAATACAATAGCGATATAACTCATATCTTTTTAAGAGTTTGAGGAAAATAATTTAAATTTAATTTTTGCTCAATTTTAAGATTAACCGGCTTTTTTAATATAATGTTTTAATTCTCCTCAGAAAATAATTTTCTAAAATTATAAAACGATGAATTAGAATGCGGTTGCATATTGAACGCTTAAAACATAATATTATATTAAAATAAATGCCATCGGCTTACCTTTTATTTAAAGACGAGCGAATATCGACGACATCGGTTTTGTCGTATACGTCATCAAGGATATAATTCCCTTTAAGTTTTGTCATGTCTATCCATCGTCGTGTGCTACCTTTGTGTTCCCACATCCTGAGCTCTTGTAAGCTTTTCGACTCCTTCATACATAGCTCTGTATGATTCGCGTGATATTCCGCTTCCAAGATGAATATGAACGCTTTCAATGATCTGCAAATACGAGGCTATTTATAATTTTGTATATGGTTGAATAAACAAATAAATCAATTAAAAGAAAATTTAGTTAACAAAAAGGTTTAAAGAATAACATATATATAATCAGTTTTAAATATTCCTGATTAAAACTTTTTCTGTGGCAAGTTATAATGGGTTGTTTTATCATTAACGTTGATATGATGAGACGTTACAGGAATAAGACTTTATCAAAGATGAAATTAAATAATTGAACTCAATATCAGCTGAGAAATTGAATTTGAAGATTCTGAAATTTGAGACATCTTATTAATTTAGTTACTTACATTCATTAATAATTTTTTTTAGTAGGGAGAGTGAATACACATTAATAAATAAGATATACAACTGCAATATTTTTTTCAAGTATAAATAAATAGGAGATTTACACACATCTCTCTAGTATAATAAATTCTCGCGTATAAATGAATAATCTGAAGAGTAGATTATCTCTGCAAATAAATAAATTTTTTAATAGAAAATCTATGTAATAAGTTAGAAATTTAAATACTTTCTTAGAAATTATTTCTGGGACAAGCGATAAAGAACGCTGACGAACCTGCATGTCAATCGAAGCAGACCATGGGAACACCTCTGTTCCTGGATCACTTCCATGTATCCTCCGTGCAATTTCACGGCCTTTAGAATTCTGCCAAATGGTGCCTGGGTGGTGGCGATAATCCTGGACGAGGAGCACGTCGCAAGCGTTATCAACAGCAGCACCAGGAGACTCGTCAGGGTCGTCGCTGCCGGCCACGCCATGATGGCTGATCATTACAGTGATCTAAAAGTCGTTCTCACACGAGCCTCGCCTTCGGAAAAGGGCTTAAAATTAGCCCTCGAGTGCCCTCTGATAAGCGGAATCTCTTCAGAAGGTAGACGTGCACTTTCGCCCTCCGCCTCTTCTTTAATTTCTCTCACGGCCACTTGAGTCACAGCTCTGCTACTCGAAGGTCGATGACCTCTTGTCTTACCGAGAGCTCGAACCAACTTTACTTTTTCTGATTTTGAATAATCGTTCTTAAGATCTGAGAAAAAATAGACGCGTTGGTTGTTTAAAGTAGGTCGAAGTCAAGAACTAGGGCTGGACAAAAATTGCGCGAAAAATTCGATTTAATTTTAAATTCGACAAGCACAAAAAATATTAAGTATCACGTTTTTTTTTGTGATGTAATAGCTTGTTATTATATTTGTCACACGTGTCAGACGCGAACACAAAGATTACGAATTTTTGGAAATTTTTAATAGAACAATTTTAAATGAATAATCTGATCATATTATGAGTTTTATTAAAACGATGTTGAAGTCTTCTAATTAATAAAATTAAACAAGACAACTATAATAATATTAAGAATAAGCTTTCAAATATAATTAGATTTTTAATACGAGTAAGTTCTTTAAATAATATTTCTAATATTATTGTTTATATTACAATTTTATTTTACTAGAATTTTTATTAATATTGGTCATAAACTTGATATACAACTCGACGAGTTTGAAGTCAAGGAATTGACATGTGTTTTGTCTCTGTAAATGGATCGAACGAGACTCACTTTTGATTGTTGAGGATTGCCAAAAATTGATGTTCGATCCGTACGTATCGAGATTGCAGCGTGTTGTTTTATTTCTCTACGATCCTTTTATTTTCGGCCGCAGCAGATCTCGTAATTCTTTTTCCGCGATGGCGCGTTTGTTGGTGGAGGCAAGTGGCCCCCGTCGCGATCAATCGGCCACGGCCAAGTTTTAAGTAGACAACAGCAGCAGCAACAACTCGTGGCGCCTCAAGGACGGGGATTAGAATAGTCTCTGGATAAATGCTTTCGCATTTAGGCACTCGCGGATGACGAAACGCGTTCCCGATTCACTATTGGAGATATTGTCTAATGATATCGGCTAATAGATGCGATTAATTACACTCTATAGTTTTATTCGATTATCTCTAATCGATGGACGGTCAGATATTTTCAGAGATTATTTGATTTTAATTAATTAATATTAGATGCTGATATAAATTAATTTCGTTTAATAGAGATGTATTAAGTATGTTGAATAATCGATTTTGTTTAGTATTAATTACATTCACAGCCACGTTTAATTAAACTTAATTAATAATCAGTAAGTGTTAAATGAAGTATTTTTTGATTAATTGATTGTGTGATTAATTGATATTAGGATTGATATTTGGTTCAATTAATTAGGTATTAGATATTAGTTATTATTGATATTTTTTAAATCTCTCTCTTTGATTAACGATTATATTTTTTATTTGCTTGTCGATTTATCTTATTATAGTTAAAGAAAACTGTCGTAAAAAATATATATGGCACAATATTGACGAATCTTCTTTCTTCAATGACAATTTATACAGTATATTATTTATACAATTATATAAAAATAATATTTTTACTTTTTTCCTTTTGATTTAAAAAAAATATTAACGTTATAAAAAACACAGTTTTAAGAGGCTGTATTCGTACATTTTCATGCAATTTTCTTTTAGAAGAGTCTTAAAAATTGTTTTTAAAAAAAATCTAAACATTTGAATTTTGTCAAGACACCATATATATTCTCGAATTGGATAATAAAAGAAAAATAATGTAATACATCATTTTGAACACATCGCACTCATACACTTAGGTTGCACGTACAAATTCAAGGAAGCTTCTGATACTTTTCGAAGATTACAATGATGGTTCCAACAGATAAAAGATGTTTCTGTAAACACGACACTGTCTTCTTGATAGATGAAAAAATATATAAATATCGTCCGGGGGGATATTTTGCTTGACAAAGTACTTAGATGTTGCATCAATTGATATACTTGACTCGGTAGCTACGACTATGTCTTTCAACACTGTTTAGATATTACTGTACTAATACTAGACGATCGTATCTTTCAACACTGCGTTTGACAGTCCATCCCGATATTTTACGTCGATCGGCGCGACTAAACGACTCCATAAATCCCGGCGTACTCGACCGAAAGAACGACCGCTCGTGTCGGCGATTCGCCGGCGTGTGCCCGCACCAGGTCGCCTGGTTGCCTACGCAGTCTGATGACGCCCTGCTTCTGCTACTTCTGCTCCGCAGGCATTGACAAGCAGTCTAAACCGGGTGAATTCCGCACCCGGAAGCGGCCGGTGGTAGCTCCGAGGGGGAAACTACCCTACTATACGCGTGCAGGGGCACACCTCTCGGGGTCTCGCGTACCCTCGTGCGGTGTAGATTCGTACCCCCGTCCGTGCCGGTTCTGTCCCTCCTCCCCCCCAGCCAGCCCCCTCCTTGTTCGATCCGCTCGTCCCTACACTTCTAACGCCACGCTGATTCCCTTTTCTTCCTCGTCGTTGATCCGGGCAGCTGAAGCCGGCAGCTGAGGATTTTCGGGTTTTCGCGAGGATCGCGCGGGATAAAGAATGACATAGGATCGATGGGGGATAAAGAAATTGAGAAATAAAATTTGTAGGTTTCCGGCGTGTAACTATATTTGACGTAATTAATTGAAGCTTAAATAAAAATCTATCAGCGGCAATTTTATGGGAGATCTTTTCCGAGTCCCTGAATATCTGTGATTGTTGAGAGAAATGGTTTATTTTTCGAGGGATTGATCTCTCTCTCTCTCTCTCTGTGTTTCCTTTGTCGGTTAATGTCTTCCTCCGTCCGGTAAGCCAAGCATTGTTCGATCTACGAGAGATCCGTAATCGATCCATTGTGATTGGCACGCGCGCGCTCGTAAAGGCGCATCTGCGTCTTCGCAGACGGAAACAGTCGGGTCTCCGTCTGTCGTTTCGGGTTTACACCGGTTATCATCGATCCCCATTGTCAGTGAATCAAGAAAGACGCTCCGGAGCGCCTTGAAATCTCTCCTCAGCGAGGAGAACAATCGAGGATTGTGACACGCGAGAAATCACATCTGCCACGAATACGTGCTTATCGTGTCATTCTTTGGAAGGGGATCAAGATGTGCGCTTTCCACAATTAATTGACGATCAATCATTAAATGAGTTTTTTATATTATTAAAAAATTACAAATAAAAAACTTTAAATTTCTAATATGAAATAAATTGAAAATTTTTTTCAGGGAATTTACTCTCTTGAGAGTAAAAAAAAATTTACGTTAAATATAAAACGAAGTTTTTTTTTATCTATGCGAAAGCTAATTTTGAATCAAATATTTATTAAGGAAGTTTAAGTTTTATAAAGTTGCAAAGTAATACTTCTGTGTGAAATCGTATATTATTATGTAAAATTATAATATTAATTATAATATTAATATTATTACGTATAATCAAACAGATGAGACGAAGTATAACAAGTTTCTACGGCGAATTATTGTAATTGCATTTTTGTAGCAATTTCAACAGACACCAAACCGCGAAATAACGTGCGAACGGATTCCACCCTAGAAACTCTCGCTTGCACGTGTTGTGTTAAAAATTAGATCGACATGTGCGGCCGGTCACGGCTCGTTTAATCCACAAACTCAATGGATGCTTAGTCAAATTGCATTTCTAATTCCCCCCCCGTTTCGCTTTTTTGCTGCACGCTTGAGGAAAGCCGCTGATACCTCCATCCGTTTCGTTTCCAAAAGGATTTTATTGATCAAACACGATCACACATTCTTTGTATTAAATTGATAATAATGATTCTCGTAAACGAAATAATCAAAAAATTTTAAAATAATATAGAATGTTAAACAATTAAAAGGAAATATCAGATTTAATTTAATCAAAAATTTTATTTAATTTTACTTCAGCGCGCTTACGATTTTACATTTATTTTGAATTTAATCTAATTTTACTTAAAATAGAATTCAATTTTTTTTGCGATTAAAGCAAGTTTTTTTTTTTATGAAACAGAGTTTCGCAGACATGAATTCGTAAATTTGAGGCAATTTGCAACCCTCGCACGATCCTTAACAGGATTATGCGCCACGTGTGCATTCGTTCTGTTGCGTAAGAGACTTGTTCCTCTTTATCGATCAGCTGAGAGTTACATATCGCATTTCGTGTAAACTGTGGAGAGGAATTTGTGTGGGTGAAGACTCTCTCTCTCTCTCTCTCTCTTTTCTAATTTTGGCGTTTCCGCGCGCGTTACACTTTTATCGTTCTCAATAGGAAAACATATTTCTATTTTTGCCGCGTCAATTTATCTTTTAAACAATATATGTACTTTGCATGCAGGCGTTATTTCCTTATATTTTTTAAATATCTTTGTATTATTTATATTTTTAAACATATAACTTGTTCTTATATATTTGAAATTACTATTATTATTAAATAATCAAGTCATGAAAAAAGAAAAAATTCTATCTTAAAAATTACGAAAATCATTAAGAAATGACTGGATATGATTAATCATTATTATTGTTATTTGCCACTTCTTTCTTTCTTCATATATTTTATTAATTTTAAATAATATATAATAGAAAGAGGCGATAAATCAAAAATAAAAATTTTATCTTGCCTCTACAAGGCATTGCCACTTGTTGAGAAAACCAACAGAGTAATTTGAGCGAAACGACTCTTGATACACAATTTCAGTGCTATTGATGATCGCGGCGTTTTAATAGCACAGCGCAAGGGAGCTTTGACTTTCTTCTCTGTTACGTCAAACTATAAATCCCACGGCGGGCGAATGACGCAAATGAGAACGAGCTTATAGCATATGCTTTTGTCTACGAAGCAAAGTGAACGGTTTGTTTTCGCGAAATTGGTATGTAAAAAATTTCAACATAAAACAGATCTTCGTTTTATTTGCTTTTTCTTGGAGAAAATGATGAGGAAGTGGACTCAAAGTTGTTTTGCAACTAAGCACGAGGAAGTGATAATTATAAATATTTTGAGCGTCTTCTTTTGAGAAGTAATTTTAATTTGAAAAATAAATTATTCGACATCAAATTAACTCTCACTACATAAAAATTAAAATGATTAATTTGGGAAATCGATTTAAAGTGATGCGTCTAAATGCTTAGATAATTATTTTTAAATATTTTAATAAGCATGAAATAAATATTATTTAGATAGCATTCAAAAAAAAAAAAAAAAAATTAATATTTAAGTCAGGAAAAAACACACGCAAGGAGGAGAGAAGGGAATTCTTAAAGAGGGATAGATTAGAGCGACAAGGCTGATGCTCGTGGTGAACGTTTTATTCAATTATAGTAATAATAAACGTCATCATCGTAGTAATAATAATCACCATAATCATCATAATGATAAGAACAATAATAATAATGACAGCGCGCGCTCGCACGTGCCATGCCGTGCCGTGAGCTACGCGCTACGCTTTCACGTGTCACAATCGCCTTCTGGCACGTGATTTTATGTGGTCGTGTGTGCACGTGAGGTGATTTTATTTTCTCGTATTTATTTTTTTGCAACAACATTTTTCCTCGAGGCGTACAATAAAGTGACGAATTATTCAGTTAACGCAATCCGGGCGCGCTTGATTTCGCTTTGATCCATGCATCTTGTATATCCGCCTGTTTGTGTACGTGGCTGGGTAGATGGATGTTACCGTGTATATGTCAGAGATGTATAAGTTTGATTGCAAAAGAGATGATCTATGAAACGCGTATGAACGAGATCTTACGTATGTACAATAGTAAATTACGATTACAATTATACTGACTTTTTTTTACGTGTCGGTTTTAATGATGGGACGCGCTATTGCCATGTCACGCGAATTCTTATGACTCTTATCACGTCGAATTATAGATAACATTAAAAAGGGAATTATCATTATTTTTCCGGTTTAAACAAATTATTTAAATTTTCATATTGCATGAATAAATCAATAAGAAAAATTATTTCTCGTGTGACGTGATAACAGTATATTTCTTTTAGTGTTTCTTCCTCTTCTCTCTATCTCTTTCTTTCTTCGAATTGCAATAAAAATAAATAAGAGCTTGGAATTACGCGAGACTTTTTAATTGTCGCTTAGTGTCGGTTTTATATTCAATCGTTGAATGATAATAATATATTATATGCGATACCTTGGATTTGTTTTTTTTTGTTTTTTTTTTGTTTTTTGTTTTTTAATGTGAGAAATAAGAGATTACGCAGTTTAAAGCCATTAGGATCAAGGATTTAGTCGGAAAGATTTTATCATGTTATTTCATTAAAAAATACAGGAGCGCATTAATATAATTAAATAATTTATCGTGTGTAAATCTTGGAATATATTATATCGCGAAAGTGGCTCCCATACACAATTTTAAATTTAGATAGCTATATTTTTTCAACTTACACGAGATTTTCGAGGAAAATTCAGAAAAATTAGACCATCTACTTTCGTGTGAGAAAATTATCGGTTGAAAAGTATTATACGAGCTCACTCGGGGCGAGATTTCGAGCACAGCTTAATTAGTGCGTAAAAGTAGCGGATCGAAAGTTTCGTGCTTGCATTCATGCGAAAATAAATAAATGTTAGCTACTTAGAAATCCGCGATGCTAATTAATTAATACTCTGTTTATATTGCGCAATTTAATCTCTCTTTCTTTTTACATCGCATTATTTTAATTATCTACTGCCATCCTTTTCTTAAAAATCTTCCTTTAACTTTATAGTCAAAGAAGGTTTAAAAAAAAAAAAAACTTGAAAAAATCTTGAAAAAGAAAAGATTTTTTTAATGATTATTCATACCGTATTGTTATACATATATGATCATTTTTAAGCGCTACCGAGTGTCTCGCGATTTGTTTATCTCGGAAGGCGGGAAATGGATTAGGGTCGTGTATCAGATGTGTCTCACAATTTCAGTTCTTTGTCCTTCTCGCATAGCGCGTTCCCTTAATAGTTCTTGATTTTTAAAAGCGATAAGGCATTATCGGATATGTCAGCTGAGATCTTTGAAACATTTTTCTGGGATTGCGGTACATCGAAAGCTTTACAAAAATATCTCATCTTATTTAATCTGTCAAGTCCCCTCTTATAGTGCTTTTTCCCCGTCGCTTTTCGAAATCCTCGAGCCACCCCTCGTCCTTTCTCGTCTTTCGAGTCCGGCGCTTGGATCCTTTCGAATAATTCTCGTCTTAATCTAACGAGACAAATTTTATTTTTTTCTCTCTCTTCTCCGAAAGGAAATGAGAAGCGCAAACTCGGTTTTCTCGTTAGCTCACATCTCGCTTTTAGTTCCCTTCTCGATATTTTTCTTCTCATCTACAACATAGTGATTAAAGCGACTCATTATGCTCCTGTGTGCGTGTGCTACAAAAGAATAGCCAAGAAAAGATTTGAGTATGCTCTGGGAAATTCTTCTCGACTTATTGTTGCCTTCCTTCTTCTTTTCCGATGTGACGATACCAGCTGAAACCGCTATTATCGTTGATCGGTGTAATTAAGCGCAAACTTTTTGGCACATTTGCTGAAACCTTTGATTATTAATCTCTTACGACATGTGTGTGATAATTTCCCGATTAAATTAAAAATAAATTTTTTTCTTAGTGATGAAAGGAAACATTTATTACAACATAAGAACGAAAAAAACTTTTGTGCGAATTAAATTTAATCAAGTATAATGAAAAAGTTTCTCAAATCTTTTATCCCAAATTTAATTTAATTTAATTTTAATGTTAATTTAATTTTAATTTAAAGGTTTAATGTACTATATATTTAACAAAAACAATTAAAATTTTAATTATGCTTTATATGCAAACTCAGTTGTGAAAAAAATGTATAGAATTTATATGTATATAATACATATATTGTACCATGTGTCAAGAGATTAATCGTCTAGATACTGTAGTTGAGTATTTCCCTTTGCTTCGCTTGTGGCTCGATTTGGCATTCGTACAACAGCACAATTGCTCGCACGCATATATTCTACAGTTTTAACTTTTTTATTTTTGTTTTAATCGGAGAAATCGCAGACGATCGAGTTGTTTTCTCAGATGAGCAATTATCGTATTAAAATACATATTTCATTACTATTCTTTTTTTTTTCTCTTTATTACTTATCTATATGAATATAATACTCAATAGTTTTGATATCTTCGTGATTGTAGTTATTCGAATTATTTCGTGATTTGCATCTACTCATCAGAATAATGCACATTCGCGAGAATAAAACACATTTAGTATTTTGTTGCTTAGATACATTTTTCCGACTTGAGGGAAAATAGCAAACTTTGATTTTTCGCATATTATGATTATTAGTAATTTATAGTAGCAAAAGAGAAAAAGATATAATGGATTCTTTTTTTAGTAATTTAATCTCTTCCGTTTCTCTCAACTACAAGTAAGTCAAATTTGCACAAAAATCCACAATAATGTTGACAGTATTTAAAGTAACGCGCTTAATTTTATGGAAATAAAATATAAAAGATATTTTGTTTTTATTTTATTTAAACGCGGTGTTTTTCCTAGAGGGTCATAAATTTGTCGAGGAACTTTTTCCCGAGATTCTCGTGGCGCAGGATCGTCCGCGATTTCTCTTCGCTTGAACTCGAACTCGATCAGGCCTTTACTATGTTGTATGCACCTCTAATTTTTTATAGTTTCTCTTTGAAAATACCGCGCGTGTACGCTTTTATTATTTTTTAAATTTTCTTTTTACTTTTTAAATTATTTTCCCTTCGCGCGGCGCGAGACGCCTAGTAGATAGGTACGATTTGCAATTCCACTACGGTAGTTTTCATACCATAATACTTATATGTACATGTATATAAATATGTGTGTACATAGTGTGTACGTGAGTAATATATTTCTTTTAAGCCTTAACAACATCCGCAATGTAACAATCATTTCGATCTCGATCAAGATCGTCGTTAATTCCACTTCGATGACGATCATCGACTTATTTCGGCTATACTCGATATTCAACAAAATATTATTATTAACCCTTCCTCTCGGATCGCGATATATCTGTCGCGTATACAAGATGAGTAAAAATGGCTTATCTTTTCCACTTTAATTTTAACTAAATATTAATTTTTAATTTTTATTTTTCTCAGCAACTAAATTTTTCGGTCACGAATATTAAAAATCAAATTAGGAAGAATGGTAATTTAGAAAGATATTTTAATAGGAAAATTAAAACCAGATTAATCTAAAAAAATAGATATAACAGAATATATCTTTATTCTTTATTTGAAATTTCGATAAACTTTAATGTGAAGTAAAAATGGCTTATCTTTTCCACTTTAATTTTAATTCAATATTAATTCAATTTTTTATTTTTGTCAGCAATTAAATTTTTCGATCATGAATATTAAAAATCAAATTAGGAAGAATGGTAATTTAGAAAGTTATTTTAATAGGAAAATTAAAACCAGATTAATCTAAAAAAATAGATATAACAGAATATATCTTTATTCTTTATTTGAAATTTCGATAAACTTTAATGTGAAAAATTACGCCAAGATAATTCGATTAAATTGTATGCGAATATATTACGTGCCCGAGAGGGGAAAAATTCTCTAACACACAACTGACAACGCAATAAACGAACAACGCGTAACGTCCTAGCGACGAATCAACGTCTATCAACTACGTCAACGTTAATCTATACAGTAACATTTAACAAACTACTAAGCGTTATTAGGCGCGATTTCGAGAGCCAGCCGAATGACACCTAATCATTCAAATTAACGAGAATCTTGATCAACTTAATCGTATCCAGGAAGCAGAAAGAAGCGAGTCCAGAATTATCAGAAATAAATCCAAAGTTAAGGATTGCTAAGTCGAAAGCGCGAATTTGATATCTATTCCATTTTTGATATTTGATTCAATGTCATTCCATTTCCTTGACTTATATATTTAGCTGTATTATTTAATGCATATAAAATTTCAAGTTTATTTCAATAAATCGCGCGGACGTAATTTCGGAACTTTCCAAGCTTTTCTTGAAGTAGGACTTGTATCCTTTAGGACTTGCATCCTTCTACCTTTTGAATACAAATGTCTGCCATAACTCTCATAATTATATATATAATCAACGTCGCGATTATTAATCTCAGCTCGAATCGACACGAATTTGCGTCGTCAAAACTCGGATCTCTTGCGCGATTATAATATTCGTGTTAAAAGTGAATATTGTGTGTATGTGTGTATGTGTGTGTGTGTGTGTCTGTTTGTCTATGAGTGTATCTGTGAGGTAATCGTTCACGCAGCTACACTATGAGCATGTAGGTCCGCATTCTCTCTCGTTGCATTTTCTCGCATATTTTTTGCTCTTGACGCGTTTCTCTCAAAGTTTATTCCTCCTTTCTTTCCAAATCAATCTCTTATCGATTATATAGTTTTTATTAGTATACGGCTTGCGTTAGTTAGTTTGGCACATTGCACGATCCTTCGCATTTTTTTAATCCTCGAAATGACCGCCGACGATGAAAAATAAAATATATATGATCTTCCTTCCGTCTTCGAGGTCTTGCGAAAAATAACCCCGATGCACCCTCGCCGCTTCGCTGCATCGAGCTGCATCGCGACGATGATCGCGCAATTAATTGGTGAATTAAGTTCCGATTCGAGATCGGGACCGGCGTTGCCGGGAATCCTCGGAGTTCACCAGTTCCCTCTCCTGACACGTATGACTAATTTGCTTCTTCTATCGAACTGTCTGTTGTAAGAATATGTACAATAGCGGTATGTATTTACACGATGAGTTAACTCTTGTTCGCGCGCGATCTCCAGTCAATCGCGAGGGCAGAAAAGTCCGAGCGAGTACACGACTGCCAGGAACTTTCCAAGGACTTCTCGTCCCGTTAGCACGATTCCACGGGTTTTCAAAACGGCCTTCCAAAGAGTCGGAATATAAAGAATCTGGCAACGCCGGTCCAGACCACCTCCTCTTCGCTCTTCTCTCCTCGCGAAAATGTTGTAACTCGTGAAGTAAAGTAGAATTCCCACCACCAGGGCCAGATTAAACAATTAGCAGCTAATCGACAGCTCGGCAATTCGAATGGAGAATCCGAAGAGACCTCTCTCAAGGTTAAATCTCTTCGACACTCTTTTGACTAGTTTTTCGATTCGAGGATCGAGCTCGAGATCGAGCTAAATCGCCGCTGGCCGAGCTTTGGTCAGATTGAGCTACGGTGGTTCCGGCTCGGAGGTGGGAGATTCCTGCTACGCTTCCAGGAATATCAGCGCCGTCGGCTTCGGCTCCAAGTTGCTCTTCTTTGCCTCCACCACCAGAAATTCGATCTCGTTGCGATCGCGGCGCGCGAATGACTCGGCGATCAGCCGCGCGACCTCCTGGTGATGAAGTCCTGCAAATAATGCACAATTAATCGTTGCTCAGAATTGAATTTAGTATAAATTCTTCAATCTTATAATTATTAATTGTTAAGGCTAATCATTATCGTTGACAAAAAACGAATTTATCATTTTAAAAATTCTTTTGGGATAAATTTAAATTTAATTTAAATTTAATTCAAATTTAATTTAAATTCAAATTTAAATTTAAATTTGGAATTTTATTATTACTGTTGTTTAAAGGAATATCCCTTGAAACTTTAATCTTAGACTATTTAAGGTCCTAGAAATATGGTTTAAAAAATATTACAAAATTAACAGATTATAAAAAAATATAAAATTTTGGTCTTGCTAGCAATACCTTCAACTTTCTGACCATCGACCTCAAGGATAAGCTGGCCGACTTCGAGGCCGCCAGCCTCGTAAGCTGCTCCATTGTCCTGCAACAAATTACCACAGATGATGCGTTAGTCACATTTATGGCATAATATTGTTTATGCCGTCGTAAATGGCGCCGGCAATAAATTCGCCGGAGATTATTAATCGTGCGTTCCAGTGGAGCCGAACTTCATTAAAATCGAATGCACCTGGTATAACGAACGTAATATATGAGATAATATTTTAACGTAATTGATTTTATTAAAAAGATTCGGAAAATATTAATTAGTATCATTAACATACTACACATAATTATTTACATGGGATACTTTATAAAGTACGCGTTCCTTTACTCTCAAGAATGTATATAACATTTTATATAGAGTGCCATTTTTAAATTTCCATTATTAAATATATCACATAAAATAATTAAGCTTTGAATCTAAAAATTCAAAGATAAAAAAAACATTTTATCTATTTACATATAATTAAAACAGAAAAAGTAATATCTAAAACATTATTAGCTTTATATATCTAGCTTATCTTGTTTTAATTTCCGTCTATCAACTCGACATATTTTCCAACTTTATTCTGACTCGATATTTCTTGAATTTTCTTCTAACGTAACGATCTTCGACTTAATGACCTAATGATTTAAAATTCCTCTTTAATATAACATCTCTTGGTTTTATTCTAACTTTGTTCTAACTTGATCTTGTGTTTGTGTTGTATGTATGCATGTAATTCAAGATCTTACTTTAATTATCCTCTAAACCAAAATCTGGTCTCACTTGAATTCTTCTTCCTAATCCAATATTTTTTCCAGTTCGATTTTTCCAGCTCTGATTTTTCTTCCAAATCGATATTCTTTCACTTTAAACTAATTATTCGGAAGTAATTTTTCGTAAATTACAATATTAATTTAAATTATAATAAATTAAATTATAATATTTTTCGGAAGAAACTCACGTGTATGTTGATGATCCGGGGCAGTGGGTGCTTGGTGTTGGCGCCGCCTTCAATGGCGATGCCCAGAATCGATTTGGTCTTTTTTACGGTGATGCGCAGGTTGCCCTGATGATCGGGCACCACCAGGGCGCCGTCTTCTTCACGTCGTTCGGACATCTCGTTGCGGCTCAGTCGTTGCACGCTGTGATGCCGCCGCGGCGGGCCCCCCGCGGTTCCGCTTCCGGCGGGCCCGCCGCCGGAACCACCCTCCTCCAGCAGCTGTGCCTCCTGCATGTCGAAGCTCCGCGAGAGCTTGTGCGCGAGCTCCTGGAACGGACATAGTTTTATTCGAACGGCGATAGCCGAGAGCATCAGACCCGTCCGCCGGATTCGCGTCAGCAACCGGAAATCAATCGATCACACACTTGCAATTTGTCAAATTTTAAAGTACAAGCGAGATCTCTCGAATTATATTTGAATATTTCAAATATCAAATTTTTGAATTTTCTATCAAATTATAATTCCATAAATATGATAAATGAGCCTAATTTTTTTTGAATTTTGAAATTTAAAAATTATTAAATTTTTTAAGTTATATATTTAAGAAAAAAATGAAATATATATGACTTTAATAAAGCAGCTATTATAATATTTTAAATTATATCTAAATTTTAAATTTTATAATTATATAAATTATAGGCAATAATAATTTTTTGTAATAGTTAAGAATTTTATATAATATTGTCTGTCCAATATAATTTAAATACTCTTATTTAAATAATTTTATTTAAAGAGATAGATTTGTGTGTGATCGTTCAAAATAAATCGCACGTGGCTGCTGCAGCGTATCCGAAAAATTATCTGAATGCACACATACATACACGCGCGCGCACGATAATAGCACATAAGAGCTAAAAAGGCTTATGATAGCGTATTCGCGTGCACGCTGCGATGGAAGA